GGGTAACGGGTAACGGGAAGGGGTACGGGTTACGGGTACGGGGTCGGGACGGGGACGGGTAGGGGGCCGGGACGGGGAGGGGTCGGGAGGGCGGGGAGGGCGGGGAGGCGGGGAGGCGGGGCGGAGGAGGGGGAGGGGGTGAGCGGAGCGAAGGAGCAGAGCAAAGGAGCAGAGCAAGGAGCAGAGCAACGGAGCAGAGCAGAGCAGAGCAGAGCAGAGCAAAGGAGCAATGGAGCAGAGCAAAGGAGCGGAGCAAAGGAGCAGAGCAAGGAGCACGGCAGAGCAAAGGAGCGGAGCAAAGGAGCAGGGCAAAGGAGCAGAGCAAAGAGTAAACCGAGCAGAGCAACGAGCAAAAAGGCGAAAAGGTCTTGAGGTCTTGAGTGCTTGAGTCTTCAGGCGGGGGGAATCCAGATCGGGTTGAGGTCTTCAGGCGCGTATTAATTGGTACTTGCTGTCTTCAGTGCGGACCGGCCTCGCCAGGTCTTCTTGACGCGGTTAGTCGTTGAGGAGGTTGTGGAGAGGAAGGAAGGAGGAACGAGGCCGAGTTGGCCTTGTTTATACCTTTCGATTGGGCCTCCCCGACCCTCCCTCCCCCCGGGGGGCCTGCGCTGGACGTCGGGCCAGTGGGGCGCCTTGCCCTGGCTCGCCTGGAAGAAGAAAAAAAAACTACGTGCATCCCGGGATTCAGACGCATCAGGGGGCAAGTAAATCGCGTGCATTCGAGACGCGTTTGAAAAATGCCGTGCATCAGCGGGGGCGGATCAGAAACGCGTCGACAGAAAATGGCGTGCATCCCTCGGACAGGCCGCCAGGGTCGCGCCGGACGTAAGGCCAATCGCGCCTTGCCCGGCCTGATCCCCCTCCCAAAAAAAACTACGTTCATCCCGGATTTAAGACGCATCAGGGGGCAAGCACCACCGCGCATCAACGACGCGTCTGAGAAATCCCGTTCGTCAGGGAGGTCGACGCGTCGACAAAAAATGGCGTGCAACCCCTGAACAGGGCGGCATCAGGGGGGATGAAAAATTACGTGCACGTCGAACTGATCTCTCCCCATTGGGCGTAAATTACGTGCACGCCGAGCTGATCTCTCCCCCGTGGTCGTCAGACGCGTCTCCGCGACGATGGCGGTGCCTGGGAGATGGGGAGGCTTCAAGTTGCAAGAAATGGCGGAAGCCACGAACAGACGCGGGCATCAGAGAGAGGAAAGAATCGCGGGCACGGAGAACCCGGACGGCGACCGGACACCGTCTTCCTATGTCCGAAAGGCACGCGCTGACCCGTCGCCTCCCTCGCTCAACTGCCCCCAATCTCGACGCCTTCCAGGATCTCAGCCTCGCCTCCGCGTTGCTCGTCGCCGTCGTCGTACCCGTGCATCCTCCGCCGCTCGGACCGTTCCTCGGCCTTTCTCTTCTTGGCGTCCTCCATCCGCTTGAGCACCTTTGTTGCCGAGTTGAAGAGGCCGCCGGTCTGTGCGCCGCACGCAAAGCACTTGGACGTCTTGGTGTACCGCTTGATGGCGCAGGCCGAGCAAAAATAGTGCCCGCAGTTGGTCACGACGGGGTCGGTGAAGGGCTGACGGCAGATGAGGCAGGCGAAGGGCACGTCTTCCTCGTCGCTGTCGTCGCCGTCCTCGGGATCGGATGCAAAGTCGCCGCGCCCGCGTCTCGAGTTGGAGTTGGGCAGCAGGTCGAGCTCCCAGCCGGCCAGGTAGTCGCTGCGGTCGTGGAGGAACTTGCACGTGTCGCCGAAGCCGCAGTAGCCCGTCTCCTTGTAGTCCTTGCAGATGTCCGGCTGGTAGTCCATGACCGTCACGCTGCGCACATTGGTCGACATCCGGATGGGCCCGCGCGAACGCATCTTGGACGATGTCCCGTCGTCGCGGGTCGGGACAAAGGACGAGTAGCCCTTGGCGCCGCGGTAGATGCCGTCGTCGTTGTTTGCCTTGCCGTCAACCTTCGTCGCGGTCGATCCGATAGAGCCTCCAGAGTCCCTAGCCTTGCCGGTATCGTCGACTTCGAGGTCCCAATTCGAGTGCCGAGTGGCGTCCTCGCGGACTTTTGCCACGCCGTCGGCCGCACCACCACCGGCCTTGGAGCGGGAAGTGACGCCCGTCTCTCCAAAGCGATCAACGTGACGCCGCTTGGCCGCATAGCCTGCCCCTGCGGCGTCTTCGTCGGCGAGTTCGATATCAAAGTCGCCGTTGTCGTCGTCGACCTCGCCGTCCTTTCTGAGTCGCTTGTAGGACGGGAGTGTTGACTGTGAGAGTGGGTTGTGCGCCTTGCGCTTGGCCTTGACGACCACCGCCGACTCTGCTGCGTCGTCGTGGTCATCATCGTCGCCGCCGTCGACGCCCCGATCTGCTGAGCGTGTTCTGAGCGATGCTATGATGGTCGAGGATCCCGCTTCGACCGTGGCGGAAGCGTCGGCGTCTGGCTTTCGAAGCGAGCGGGGGCCATTGCGCTTCTTCTTGAAGAGGACATCCGTGCCGCTGCTGCCGGAGGCCTGGGTCGATGTCGTCGCCATTGACGAGGATGGTGGCGATGTTTCAGCCATATTAGGTTGATCGTATAGAGGGTGGTGGCGGTGGCGGTGGCGGTGGCGGTAGTCAGGCAAGAAGCAGACTGAGCGCAGCAGTACGGATAGACCGCGAGGTGTTGGCCTCTGGAGCGTTTTGCCACCGCCGGCGAATGTGGAGTGGGACGGAGCGCAGCGCAGCAGCCTCTTCTCGTGCGGGTCAGAGCTGGCAGAGGATCGCCGACTTCCGAGTCCAGGGGTCGATGACGTGCGGCGGGGTGCGCCGCCAGGGCCCGCTGGCCGGCTTTGCTTGTCCGAAGCGTGGTGGGGCCCTGCGTCGGGGTCCTCCGACGACGCCCTGCGCCGTGGGTCGGGAGGCCCGCGTGCGAATGGATGAGCGGCGGCATGACTCCGCCGCCTCTGATATGGATGGCTCACTCACCAGCCAGCACGCTCACCAGCACGCTCACCAGCAGGAAGGGGCCGACAAAGGCAAGCCCAACATGTGCCCTTCCCTGCCTTGCCCGCGCCTCGGCCAGCGCTCTATGCCAAGCAAAAGCGGCGTCGGCATGGGGCGTGCTGGCTAGCGGGCCCTGGCTGGCTGGCTGGCTGGCTGGCTGGCTGGCGCTTTCAACGTGCAACAGAGAGCGAGGTGGGCATCCTGACGGCGAGCCAGGGCCAGGTCGGGCCAGGCCAGCCAAGCAAGGTGCTGGCGCAGCGCTGTTGGCCGCCGCCTGCTCTCCACTTTTTGGATTTTTCGTCGTGGCATGCTCTCTCTTGCTTGTCTTCTGCTGCCGTCGACGTCTCTCTCTTCTGTTGGTCAAGCCAGTCGATCTGCTGCTTTGCTCCATCATCGTGAGCTTGTTCGGGTGACTCCCTCGACGACACATATCAGCGCATATCTCCATCGCTGTCCCGCCTGGCCGCCCGCTCCAACGCCATCTCCAGCACCCACCGCCGGATACCGAGCGCCGGTAGCCACGCCCGCCCAGAGATAAGCCCCCCTGTCCAACACTCAGCCCAGCCGTCTCCGCCGCCAACCCAGGCCTCTTTGTCCGCCTCTGGGGTCGCTCTCTCGCCTCCATCGTCCCGACCTTTGACAGCGCCGACACACCCCTTGTATCCGACGACACGAACAGCTCGAGCTGTCTCTACAGCAACCGACCGACGCCGCCGTCTTCTTGCAGCCGCCCGACGGACCCCCCACAACCAGCGCATTCACCATGCCCGTCAACGGATAGCACTTTCCGTCAAAGCCCCCATCTCACCCGCCTCACGACAATCGCATCGATCGCGCTGGACAGCGACCATCCATTCCATACCCTCATGTTCAGCCATCCCGACCAAGGCCCCTCGCTCGTCCAGCCTGCCGCCACCGACATCTGGCGGCTCAAAACCATCCTATCTTGATCTCCCCTTGCTCCCATCGCGGCGCCGCGCGCATTGACTTGCCACCCGAACCGTCGCCGACCTCGCCATGCCTCCTCCTTCCTTCTCCCACCCGGCCTCGACGGTGTCGATCCCGAGGTCGGTCCAGTCCTGGATCAAGGATGTCTGCCAAAAGATGCGCGCCGCGCTCCTCGCCACCGACGACGCCCAGCGCGCAGAGCTCATTCGCACCATTGCAAACTCGGTCACCGCGCAGGTAGACTCGCTCGAGGCCAGCGCCAATGCCGAGGCCAAAAAGGACCCAGCACAGGCCGGCGCTTCCTCGTCGTCCACCGCACAGATCAAAGCGCAGGTGGCCGCAAAGATCAACGTCAGCCTGCTCGACATCTTCCACGGAGAGCTCGAAAAGCAGCAGCAGCAGAAGCTTCCCGTCGTCGTCGAGCTGCTCCACGTCCTGCTGCCCCTCATTGGCACCCACTGCATCGTGATGAGCTGGTGGGATCTTGTCCTCCGCCCGCTCCTCAAGAGCTCAGCCGTCCAAAATGCCACAGCCAGCAAGGCGCGCGAGCTCGCCGTCGCCGCCATGGCGGCCGCGCCAGCGTCTGCGTACGAAGATGAGCCCGCTCCGATCCCCCAGTGGCCGGCACCCTCGGCGCAGCAGTCCATGCGACAGGCCGGAGATGCGCCGTACCCCATCACCTCGGTCACGCCTCAGTCGCAGCAGGCTCGCAAGTCTCAGCTGGACAAGCCGGCGCACTCGACAGCGGCGTCCTCTTCCCTGCGTTCCACGTCTGTCGGCTCCTCGGCCGCCAGTCGAGTTGACCAGTATCGCCGCTTTACGCAGCGCATCTTCGATCTCTACATTTCCGAGACGGCGACCACCTTCGCAGCCTCCAGCAGCCGGGACGGACCGGGCGGCAGCTCACAGGCCGGCAACGAAGAGACAGGCGCGCACGCCGATGATCGGTCCACGATGCACGAGGACGAGATGAGCATCGTCTGGCGCGGTAACCTCGAGTCGACTATCCTGATCTACAGCAACCAGAGGCCAAAGGAGTTCTTCCACCACATTGCAGAGTCGTTCGTCGAGCCCACGGGGCGGGTTTCGCTGCTCTGCCTGCTCACCACCTTCCTGCGGCTCTATACCATCCACACCTATCACATCACGTCGACTGCGTTGCCGAGACTGCTGGTCCTCTCGCTGCAGCTCGACACCTCGACCACGTGCACCGCGCTTGGCGTCACGGCCCTCGTCATGCTGATGCCGCACATCCCGGACTACATCGCCAACGGCGGCGGCGGCGGACTTTCGACGCTGCTGGCCATCTACGGGCGCATTGTCGACTGGCGCAAGCTCGGAAGCGGCTGGGAGGACCGCGTGGGCGGCGGCACGGAGCTCGAGGCGTTGCGAAGGGAAAAGGACGAAGAGTACACAGAGATCGATCGACTCGGCAAGCGTCTCAACATCAAGGCCAGCCTGCGCTGGAGGAGGCTCGAGTCGACATTCGACACTGCGGACTCGGTGCCGCCCAACGCCGAGCAGCTCTTCACCTACCTCTACGGCCTCTTCCCGTGCAACGTGATCCGCTTCCTCCGCGCGCCGATCTACTACCTGCGCGAGACGCTCTTCGACAGCCCGTTCGAGGGCCCCTGGGAGGACATGATCGATGAGATGGCCGTCCAGAGCCGCAGCCATCCGATCCTTCGCCGCCACACGCTTCACCCGGCGCTGATCAGCCTCAATGCCGAGCGGGAGCTCACCGACAAGCAGCGGTGGCTCAAGCACGACTCGGCCGACATCAACGCCGAGTGCATGAGCCTCTTCCTCGGCAAGTGGCACGACGTCAACAACGATCACATCAAACAGGCCGAGCGCGAGCGTCACGTTTTCTTTGAGGCCGACACCGGCATCGACGACGACAGCATGTCGGTGCCCTCGGAGCGGAAGCCCAACCAGAGCGGTGGAGCGATGCGGAGGCGATCTTCAGGCCCGCATCCTGGGTCCTTCATGAGCGAGATGGCACGCAACTTCCACCACCTACCAACCACGGTCAGCCCGGATGGCATCCTGCTGACCTATGCGTCGCTGCGCTCCGGAGCGCCGCTGGCGTCCAACCTCTCGGGCGGGCACGGCGACGAGTCCGGCTCGCGCGAGTCGCGGCAGGCAAGCGGATCTGGCTCCAGCCTTCGCATGATACCCGCCGTGTCGGCCACCGCCGCGACGAGCACGGCCACGGCAAGCGGCGTGCCATCGTCGGTCCCTGGCTCCCCGGCGACGCACGCTGCACGGGCGCGGGCACGAACGCGATCCGGCTCGATGTCTTCGGTGATCTCGCTGCTGCCACCGGCACCTGGATCCCCGACGAGCAAGCAGCACCCGCTCTCGACCAGCTTCTCGCCCGTCGACCATAGTGTGCCCGATCCGATCGACACGACTCACAGCACCAAGCCCGCGAGCTCTTCGGAGCTCGCCTTTGTGCACCGCGAGAATCTGCTCCTGCGCAATGAGCTCAACTTTGAGCTCTACCTCAAGGAGCAGCACCTCCGTCATATCGGCAAGCTGCACCGCGACCGCGTCACCGACACGGCGCTCGAGGCCGAACGGCAGAACCTCTACCACACGGTGCGATCGCTGCGGGGCCAGCTGACGGCGATGAACACCATCCTCGACCGGCAGAGGAGCGAGGCGGCAACGACCAAGAACAGGCACGTTCACTGGGAGGCCGAGCTCAACAACAAGCTCAAGGCGTACCGCGAGGAGCGCAAGGCGTGGACCACCGAGGCGCGCCAGCTCAAGGCGCAGGCCGAGGAGAGCGCCGCCACGATCGCGGCCCTGTCGCGCCAGCTCGAAGAGTCTGGTGCGGAGCTGTTTGAGCTCAAGACGCGGCTCCAGTCGGTCGAACCCAAGGTGGCCCGGATCGAGCAGTACGAGGCCAAGCTGAGCCAGCTCACCACCTGCCTCACCCACTGGGACAACGACGTCCTGCGATACCAGGAGCAGCGCAAGGAGATGGAACGCCTCCTGTCGCGATGGGAGGAGATGGTGTCGATGCTCGAGAGCACCGAGGCGGCGCTGCAGCACGCCGAAATGGGTCGGCGCAAGCTCGAGGCGGAGAACGAGAGCGTCAAGGCGCAGCTCGAGGCCGCATTTGCAAGGCTCCGCGCCGTTCAAAGTGGCGAGCAAGCCGGAGATGTCGAGAGCAACGAGGCAAAGCGCGGTGACTCGGTGGCAGCGGAGGAACTGGGCCAGGAGCGAGGACGGACACAGAGTCAGGGCCAGGGCCAGGGCAGATCGGCTCCGACATCCACGGCGATGGTCGACGCGCTGGCCGCGGCGCAAAAGGAGCGAGACGACCTCCGGAGCCAGAACGAGGCGCTGGCCGAGATGATCCTCGACCTCAAAGCCAGGCTCGAGGCGGGCGAGGCCGAGGGCGCCTACCGGGACAGCCTGGCTCGACATGCGGCACTGCTCGCCGGCCAAACCGAAGGCAAAGATCAGCAGCAGCAGCAGCAGCAGCAGCATGCCGACGAGCAAACTGCCGCCGACGAGGAAGCGGATCAAAAGGATGACGAGGCGGCACAGGACGGCGAAGACGCAACGTTGGCTTCAGCAGTGGAGGAAAGCGCGAACGAGGGCAAGGAGGAGGCGGAAGACGGATGAGGGCGTGTACAGCCTCCGCGACGAGATTCGAGGTGGAATGACAGGAATCAACGACCATGGCCCCACCCTCTTACCGCGACAGGCAAGGCCTCGATGCTTGCCTCGTCACCGCGTCGTACTTGCTCGTCGACTTCGGTACCATATCTGCCCATCGAGAGAGGAAACGCGACTCCGCGGCATACGGACCTACGCAGCATCAGGCGTAGAGACGGGACGGGACAGGGGGGTTGGTGCTGTGTGCAACGGCCGACGGGACGTGTGCAGAGGTATACATTTGAAGAGCAGAGACTGACGACGAGGACGGGGGGAAAAGGGGGGGGGGGGGGGGGGGGCGGGGGACGATGCTATCGAAAGCCGGAGAGATCGAATTGACGAGAAGACATGCAGAAAAGGTGGGGTCGGCTGCGGCCTCGACGAGGATCGTACGGACGTGGCTCGCCAGGAGCAACGTTGGATCCAGAGGCAGCCGTCGTGGGTAGGAGAGAGGAGGAGGAAGAGGTAGCGAGGGAAGGGAAGGGAAGGGAACACGGCGGCGCGTGCACGCACCAGGGCAGGGGGAGGATGGACATTGCGAATCGACGGGTACGTGCATAGACGTTGCCCGTCATCGCCGCCGCTGCCGCTGCGGCCGCTATGTCACTGAGGTATCGTCTGTGGGTGGGTGGTAATGGCGAGGAGAGACTGAGAAGAAGGGAATCAGGCCGAGTCTAAAAGTCGTCGACATCGCTGCTGCTCCCCGGTCGAGGGGCAGCGTCGGCGTTGGCGTTGGCGGCGACAACGGCGTCATTCGCATGGGGTATAAGGTGTGCAGGTTGTGGGGAATCGAGCTGCGTCTGCGTCTGCGTCGACGTCGGCGTCGACGTTGGCGGCTCCTGATCCATCTTCGGAGACCGATCCAGGCGCGAGCGACGCCGCGGCAGGTCGCGCAGCGGCGCGTGGGCCGTCGAGGCTGGCCCGTCGAGGTGCTGCTGGGTCGCTGTCGCGGCCGACAGCGGTGCCCCGTTGACGGCGTAGCCCGACGGCGACGACGTCACCAGAACGGGTCGGTTCCGCTCGTCGGTCGGCGTGTCGAGCGCTGCGAATTCGGCCGGCTGCGTCTCTGCCGGTGGTGGCGCGGCGGCCTCGGTGCGTCCTGCAGATGCGTGGCTCTCGCCGCCCGCGACCGTGCCGCCTTCCGAGACCTCCTCCCATGCCGAGCCGACCTCAGTGTCACTGAAGCTGATCGTCGAGAAGCTCTCGTCGCCCGTGACGGGCGAGGGCGCCTGCCGGTTGTGCCGCGCTGCAGGCAGGGTGCTCGAGATCCTCCGGGCCCCGGTACCGGTCCGGGTACGAGAAGCTGCTCGCGTCGTGGCCTCGGATGATCCCGAGACGTGCCTCGACTCGACGCTGTCGGGTCGAACGGTGGCTGTACGATCTCCATGGCCCATGGCGGGACGCTCCAGGGAGGGGAAGGCGAGCATGCCACCACCAGCTTGGCTTCTATCGGTTCCGCGGGAGGCAGGACGCCGGTAACCGAGAGCACGTGCGGCAGGCTGAGGCTCGACTGGAACATCCACGGTCGACGAGGGCGAGTCGTCTCGCGCCTCTCGCGTTCGCGATTGGCCGCTCGGGAACGGCAGAGGGCCATCGCGGTCGCTGCGAGCCTCGGCTAGGTTGCCGCCGCGATCAACCTCGTCCTCGTCGGCGCCTTCATCCTCTGTCGAATCGCGATCGTCCTCGACTTCGCCCACCGACGACTCCGAGAACGATTCCATCGATGGATCGAAGTCGTCGTCGTCGGCCCAGCGCGGAGCCGAGTCTGCAAACGCGAATATCGACTTTGGCATGGCCTTGACGCGCGCACAGAAGTCCTGCAGATCCGCCTCATCCTTGCAGAGAAAGCCGAGCAGCATGCTGGGGTCCAAGCTCTTGATGGGCATCCGGCGAACCTTGTCGGAGTGGAACGTGGCGAGCTGCTGCTCGCTGTACGCATGCGCCCACCACTCGTCGGCGTCGTCGTCCGGCGAACCCTCGTCCGCCGATGATGCCGCTGACGGGAAGCGACTGGGTGGGTAGCGCAGCGGCACGGCCGGGCGGACGTGGTGCGGATCCAGATAGAAGAGGCTGTTGCCCTGGTGGCCCATAAAGTAGTACGACGAGCTTGGTCGACCGCCTGCGATGCCGACGCTTTGCGGAAAGGAGAACGTAGCCTGTCGAGCAGCGACGGCGGGATCGAGACAGGGTACAAACGACCAAGGTTAGCGGCACGGACCAAGGCGAAATAGGATTCAGTGGCGACTCGAGGTCTTACCTTGACCGCGTCGTAGTACATCGGGTTGACGCCTTCGAGGCCGAGTCGGATGCCGATCAGGATCAACACTGGCCTTTGCCAGGCTTGGCTCGACCGCCGTCGCGAGGCCGACGTGCGCTTGACGGCAGCGGCTCGGACCTCGTCGAGGTAGACGGACCCATCGTGGGCCAGCGCCACGCCCAAACCGGCCTCGGGGAACTCGGTGACCAAGGCCTGGATTGCGCCAGCAGCTGTGCTGGGACCGAACCATTCGCCAACCTCCTTCCCTAGCCGCTTGCCCTCACGCGCCATGCGATGGACGCCAAAGGGGCAGGCCGGGCTCGGATCGTCCAGGAACCAGCTGAGCAGCTTGACGTATGTCGCATAGGTCTTCCGCGCCCTGCGGAACTCGCTCATGGCGGCCGCGTCGGTATGATCCTCGCCGAGCTGCTCCTCAAGCTTGCTCTGGGCCACCGGAGCGGGTCGGCGCATCCAACTGCGCCCGAGATGGACATCGATGAGCGCGTTGGCCAGCAGGCTCTGGCCCGTCCTCAGCATGCAGCCCCAGCCTGCGTCGGTCGTGAGACCGGCTCGGCTGAAGCCGGCAGCCTGCGCGGCCGCGGTCGCCCGACCCCATAGGCCGGTGATGCCCATCTTTTCACCAAGCGACGTCGGGCTGGTCGCGAGGCCAGTCGCACTGCCGGCTGCGGCAGCTGCTGCGGCCGAGGCGGCAATCGATGTTGGCGTGAGGCCATCGCGACCAACGCTGCTCTCCGTGAGCTTACGTCCAAGCCAGCTCCTGCCGCCTGACGTGGCCTGCTGTGCGGCCCTGTCAGAGCTAGGGGCCGCAGCAGCGAACCCGAGAGCAGCATCAGCATCGGCCTGGGCAGAGGCAAGAGCCGCCGCGGATGCGGCCTGTTCGGAGATGGTGCCGTCTCTCGCAATCGGACCAAAGTTGTTGCGGTACGTGCACCAGACGCGTGAGCTGAAGTCGGCCTGGAAAGCAGCTTGCCAGTCCTGATCGGTGAGCGACCGGGCCGGATGGTGCTGGGCGCTGGTCGCGGGCGACGACGACCGCTCGCTCTGCTCGGTCGATGTGCTTCGGATGGTGTTGGTGGCGCTGCTCGGCTGTGAGCGACCCTTGAAGCTCCTCACCTTGACTGGCGAGGTCTGCGGGGTAGGAGGGTTGCGAGCCAGCACGAACCCGTCCTCAGATGCCGTCTGTGGCGATGAAGCTGGCAGGCTGGCATGGACAGAGGCGGGCGTGTGCACGGCAGCCGCCTCGTCGTTCAACACCTCGGTCTGTGTGTCCGCAGATGCGGCCGCGACCGGATCGCTTCGCTCGACTTGACCGTCCAGCAGTGACGATGCCGCGCCGCTTGTCTCGTTGCTGACCTCGTCGGGGGTTTGCACGCCGCCTTGCGGGTCGGCGCTCGGTCCATGCCATACTCCGAGCAGCCAGATGCCTTCCTCGCTTGGCTCAGCCTCGGTATCGAGGAAGTATTTGAGAGCTCGGTCGAAGCTGGCGCCGCCACCAGCCATCCAGCCTGCGCCAACGCCGGTGCTCGCGCTCGTGCTCGAAGTGGAGCCCGAGCCCTGGGGCGCCCCTGCTCGAGGAGGCTTGTGCGGACCTCCGGTAAAGCTGTAGAGCAAGGAGCCGGTCTTTGCGCGAGACGAGCCCGCTGCCCCCGGGCTGGTCGATAGCGCCGAGGACGTGGCGGGAGGCTCGAGCTCCTTGGTTGGTGATGTGGCGCGGGGAGAGCTCGTGCCCAGCGATGGGCTCTTGCTGGCGCTACGCACTGATCCACCGTCGGCATCGACTCTACGCGCATTGGCGGACGCGGCGGCAGAGTCGGTGCCGGCAGAGGCAGCTTCGTTGCCCATCATGTTGAGCAGCCAGCCGCTGAGCCGCTTTGGCAGACCGGAAGGGCTGACGCTGGCGTGGTGGTTGGGGACGACGAGATGCGCTTCGGACCGGACGTCTCCCCCCACTGAGGCTCGGGCTGCGCGGCCGGCGACGTTGGCGGAAAAGGCGGAATGGCTGCTCTCCATGCTTTCCCTCTCGATCGCAGGACTGACGGCCGCCTGGTTCGGCGTCTCGACTTCGGTCGGACCCAGCTCCGAGATCGAGTTGGAGAGCGAATAGATCGAGTCCGAGTCGCTGTTCTGCTTTTGTCTGCCCTTTTTCCTCTGCCATGCCGATGCGGGACCGAGCCTCGCCGGGTCGGGCTGCCTGGCGCTGCTGTGGTGGCTCGGCGCTCCTTCAATGATGGCCGACGAGGCGAGGCTCTCGGTCGAGCGCATGGCGTCCTTGGATGAACCTGCGCCGAAGAAGCTCCTGCTGCCGATGCGGCGGAGGATATTGTGCCCTTCCCTGTTGCTAGGCTCCGGCAGCCCTTGCTTGGCCATGTCGCGGATGCTGTTGCTCCGCCCAAATAGCTTTCGCCTTGGCACGCCGCCGTGAGCATCGACACCACTGAGCTGCGGCTGCGGGGCGGCCGCCACTGCCGCCGGCGATGAAGATGAGGATGATGAGTACTCGGCCTGCTTCGGGTCGGCCACGCTCTCGTATATGCTGGCCCGCGGAGTGCGGTCCGATCCGTCGAAGCTGGGCAGTTCTGGTCGGCTCGACTGCTCCGACTTGCGGCCCACGCCGCTGCCCTTCCACGTGCCGGCCCTCAGCCTACTCTTGACCTTTGTCGAGGGGGCCGGTGATGAACTTCCCGAACTCGTCGAGGGCCGATGGAACGTCGCCTTGATGGCGGCGCTCACAGAGCTGGAGCGGGAGCGATTGACGACGGTCGCATCTCCCGCGGCGGCGCGAGGGGCGGAGATAGAGGCAGGGTCAGCATTGACGGCGATGCGGGAAGAGCTGGCAATCGAGCTCGGTGAGCCTCGTTCTTGATGTTGGGGATCGAAATCGGCGAGTTGGTGTACAGCCACGACCGGCGCAGCTGCCGACGCAGGGCGAGCGGACGGATGAGCAGGCTCTGGTGAGGGGCTTGACAAGGCGGTCGAGCCGGATGTTCTGAAGCCATGGTCTGGCCCTGCCCCGGAGCCGGTGATGCTCGAGGCAGTGTACGAAGCAGCGGCGGTGCCGGTCATGGTCGCGGGCGTCCGGGATCCGGCGTCGTCGGTCTCGGGTGAAGGCAAGAGTAGTGCCTGGCGTGGCGTAGCAGTCATCTCAGGCGGCGATTCCGGGACACGACATCGAGTCGAGACCAGCAAGTCCAAGTGCTGAAACAGGGAGGTTGGGTTGGCGTCGGGATGGTCCGAGTCGGCTCCTGACGCTTGCAGCCACCTTAGGATGGCCGCATCGATCGCACAGGAGTTGGAGAGCGGTGATGGAGGTGCAAAGGTAGCCAGTCGAACGCGCCTCGACCGAGACAAAAGGCGGTGCGGATGTGGGGCGGCTCGGCTGGACCAGGGTGCAGGCAGGAGGGCCGATGAGACGGCCAGGATCGGCCAGGGTCGTGGGCGGCGGATGGATCCTACAGCGGTCGCCTTATGATGCGGCGAGAATGAAAAGGTAGCGAGATCGCGTTCGGTTGGTGATAGGGGGGTGGGCCCAGATCGTACGTGGCGAGATGGCGATATCGACCTGGGAGGCCAGGCCGGGTGGGGTGGTCGATGTTGGAGAGCGCCAACGACGAGCGGCTGCTTGGGGCCAGCCTCCGCCCTCGGTTTGGTGAGCCAAAGAGGCGCGCGCCCCTCCAACACGTCCGCCTGCCTGCCTGCCCGCCTCAGTCGCCCGGGCCCGCAAGCTAGGCCCTGCCTGGCCCGGTGGCCCCATCCACCCGTCTGCCTGCCTGCCTGCCTGCCTGCCTGCCTGCCTGCCTGCTTGCTGGGCGGGCCCGGGGCAACAGAAAATGCACGCCCGGGGCCACGCTGCGCCCAGGGTCCCTCCCTGTCTGCCTCTCGTGCCCACCCGTGACGGCGGCAGGTCCCAGCGTCGCCCGTGCAGCGATCCTCTGCTCTGGACTCGGCCACGGACTCGACCTCGACCTGTTCGGCGCTGCTTCGTCCAACAGCGACGCCAAGTCTGTCTGTGTGGGCCACCGCACCGACGGCGACGCCCTTGCGAGCAAGGCTAGGCTGCCAGCTTCCCGGCGGGGGCCGCCGCAGAGGACGCAGGGAGGGAGGTGGAGGCTGCTCCGGCTGCACGGCCCGTCTGCCAACCGGCACCTCTCTCGCTCGACCAAAAATCCAACGGGAAATTGGCAGCGAAATCAAAGAAACCGCAGCTTGCTCGTCGTGCCTTGCAACAACTCTGTCCAGGCCACCACCCTGTCCACGTCTTCTCTCGGTACCAGACTTCGCCACCCTTTGCCGCCCCGCCTGGAAGCCGAGAGCACCTGCGGCTCCGCCCACTGTGCTGGATGCTCCGCGCATGACCTGGCCGGCAGAGGGAGGTAACGGGGATGAGCTTCTTTCGCGACCGCGACATCGACGCGTTCGACGCCACCAACGACGTCACTGCCCCGTCGCGCTCCCCCTCGGCATCTCCGCGCAAGAAGCAGCGGATCTCACACGATGGCATCGATCCAGGTGCTGTGGGCACCGCCTCCGATGCCGCTACGGCGAAACACGACGATGGCCTCGAGTCGCTCCGTCGACGCATGGCCGGGCCCTCGAGCGGCAAGGCGGGCCTGGCAAAGGACCAGGACGAGATCAACAGGATCATCTACGAGGCGTCCAAGGGCAGCAAGTTCTTTGAAAACGAGCGCAAAAAGGACCAGCAGACGACCGAACGCATCAAGCTGCTCCTCGCCAGGCGCGACGAGAAGCGCAGGCAGGTCATCCCGGGCAGCCCGGAATGGCTGGCCATCGAGCGAAGGATCGAGGAGATGGTGAGCAGCTTCCGCGAGCGTCGAGCCGGTCGCAGTCCTGAATCGCATGCTCAGATTTAGCTCGTCCCCCCATCGACCCGCCAACACCAGGCGACCAAGCTCGAGAACAGCCGCGACCTCTCTCGTACCATCCTGCACTGCGACATGGATCAGTACTATGCGGCCATCGAGCTCGCCCGCGATCCTTCGCTCAAGGGCAAGTGCTTCGGCGTTGGCTCGGGCGTCCTCGTGACGGCATCATACGAAGCGCGCAGAGGCTACGGCGTGCGGAGCGGGATGGCCACATTTGTCGCAAAGGCGCTCTGCCCGCACCTGATCGTGGTCAAGAACGACATGGCGAGATACGTCGAGGTGAGCCAGCAGGTCATGGCCATTTTCGAAGAGTACGACGAGAACCTGGCAAAGGCTTCGCTCGATGAGGCCTACCTCGACCTCACTGACTACCTCGAGCAGGACGGGTGCAGCGTCGAGGACGTCGTCGAGCACCTGCGCGCCCAGGTCAAGGAGCGGACGCAGCTGACCGTCAGCGTGGGCATCGCGCCCAACACGATGCTGGCCAAGATCTCGAGCGACCGCAACAAGCCGGACGGCCAGTTTCGCGTCATGCCGGACCGCAAGACGGTCGTCGACTTTATGCGCGACCTGGCCTGCCGCAAGATCCCTGGCATCGGTCGTGTCAACGAGCGGATCCTCGAGAGCCTCGGCGTCAGGACGTGCGGCGAGATATGGGAGCACCGCGTCGACCTCTGGCTCGCCCTGGACGGCAAGATCGAGTGGCTCCTCAAGGCGCACCTCGGCCTGGGCAACACCATCGTCGAGCCGAGCAAGCGCGAGGAGCGCAAGAGTGTCGGCAGGGAGCACACCTTCAGCCCCACGTCGTCCCGGTCCATGCTCCTCGGCCTGCTGCGCGAGAGCGCCAACAAGGTCGAGGCCGACCTCAAGCGGCTCGACTTCCGCGGCAAGACGGTCACGCTCGTGGCCAAGAAGGACACGTTCCAGCGCTTTTCGCGTGCCAAGACGGTGACGAGGCCCGTCCACAAGGCCGACGACCTCTACGAAATCACCAGCTCGCTGCTGCACCAGGAGATCGAGAGCCAGGGCGCCCTCTGCCTCCGTCTCATCGGCGTGCGGGTCACGCAGCTGATCGACATGCGCTCGGCGGCAGCTGGGAGCGAGCGCTTCAAAAAGATGTTCGAGACGTCCGAAACCCGGCCCAGGCGCGGGCCGACGGCGGTGGCAGGTCTCGATGCGATGCGGGAAGAGGAGGAGAAGCAGCTCGCGCTGGCGATCCAGCAATCGCTGGCGAGCGCAAATCCCTTTGACGAGATCGGCGACCTCAGCCAGGATGCGCCTGGCCACCCGCCAGACGACCAGGCACCGGGCGAGGATGTACGCGGCGGAGCGGTGACGCCAACCGACGGACCCATCTCCTCTGGTCGGCCGACGGCCGGAGACGAGGGCAACGGTGCCGCCGAGTCGGATCAGCCCGCCGCGGCGACCCCTTCGCATCGCGTCGCCTGCCCCATCTGCGGGCGACCGGTCGAGGGCAACAATGACGACCTCAACCGGCACATCGATCTGTGTCTCAAGGGCGAGGCGACCGACGGCGGATCAGAAGCAGCGGCAGCAGTAGCAGCAGCGTCCACGACGCAGCCTCGAGCGCCGTCGTCGTCATCGAAGCAGCAGCAGCAGAAGAAGAAAAAGGGGCCCCTGGACGGCTTCTTCCAGCGGCCCCGTTGACCAGCCCACCACATACCTTGCCTGGCCCGCATCGTGAGGGGCGCGGAAACTTGTATCAGTAGCAGAGATCCATGGCGTTCCAAAATCTCCATGGATAATCGCCTGTCAGAGCCATGTCTGCAGCTCGAAGATGCGACGAGAGGCGGGGTCGCACCAGCTTGCCTCGCACACACGAAGCACGGGGCGAGCCCCAAGAGTCGATGGAGGTCTAGGAACGCATTGCTTCGACTCTGAACGAGACCGGTGTCAACATCGAGAAGGTGGGGTCGGAGGCGGGTGCGACAAGACGTGGCGCCTCAGTCAGGGCGATGACCTGCCTGAGTGAGGTGAGATGAGACGAGACGAAGGGAAGGGATAATGGAGTGTCAGTGGGACGTGGGCCGACCGAGCCGACACACACTGCGCGCAGGCGGATCGGGCGTGACGTTGACCTACCTTGGTAGACGTCGCAGTGTCGCTGCCGACCTTCCGGTTTCGACGCTCAGTGGTGGTTGTTCTTGTGGTGTCCTGCGGCCGAGCGCGGTTGGAGGAGAGCGAGTGCGTGGACAGTAGATCGAAAGGATTAGCTGCGATGCTCGCGCGTTTGATTCGACCACCTCGTGCCTCGACTCGACGAGCGGACCGTCCGCCTGGTCCATGCGCGACCATCTCCCGAGTGCGCCTCAGTCATCGACCGCCAAGGGGAGCTCGGCCATCACCGCAGCAAGGAGCAGGAACGGGCACCAGGACATCGGCCCCGATGTGAACGAACGAGGCTGGCCAGGCGGGCAAGGTTCGAATTGATACCCCTATGCGGCTGCCTTCGAACCCCGGATCGTTCCTTCTCTCCTCCTCGTTCGACCAAGGAGCGACGCCGCACGGCAGGAGCGGAAGGGGAAGACTCACGGAGGTGGGTAGCGTAGTCGATCGAGTAGCCGATGAGGAAGAGGGTGAAGAGGGTAGCGACGATGGGCTTTCCGCTGGCGTTTTCGCCGTCAAAGTAGCGGGCCTTGATGCCGCCGCCGCGGCGGACGGGGGCGTTGCCCTTGGGGAGGGCCTTGTAGAAGTTGACGACGCCCTCCATGCGCGTCGAGGAGCCGCCGGGGCCCGAGACGGACTTGGGCGTGGCAATCTTGGGCGGGATGGGCAGGCTCGAGTTGAGGCGCACCTGCTGCTGCCCCACGGAGCGGCTCAGCGAGCGTGCGCTGGTCTGGACGTTGCGGAAGAACATCGTGGCGCAAAGGAGACGTGTGTGTGAGGGTGGGAGGCGGTGGGCGGGGAGAGGTGGTGATGGGGCGAGGTGAGGTGGTGCAAGGTGGAGCCTGCGCCGATGGGTCGGTCTTCGAGGTTTCCGCCCGCGCCGCGATGGGAAGGCCTGGCCTGGCGTTGCGGGCAGGCCCGCCCTCTGTCTGGAGATGGCGGCCCCCAGCGCCCTTGCCCGCCTCCAGCCTTGCTTCCTGGACCTCCCGGTCCTCGCTCGCTGCCCCGCCGCCCTGCCGGAATTTCACCAGCCAGGCCTGGCCAGCACGCCGAGCGCGTCCGATCAGTCCGAGCATTTGTTTCGTGCGAGAAAAGGAAACGAGGCTGGCGGCAGAACCACCGTCTTTCGCTGCACCCGGCCTCACCGTCTCGCTGCTCCTTCCGACGTGCGGCGGGCGGGCGGGCCATGCTTCGAGGCATGCACATCTCATATTGATGATCATGAAGGGCCTGGGGAGTGGCCGAGCGCCGACGCGGTCGATGCGCGCGCACGCAGAGGGCGCGAGATGCAAGCGTACAAAAGGGGGTTTTTGGATTGAAGAAAGTAGAAAGGGGGAATGGGGGAATCTGGGGGGACTGGAGAGGGCGGACCACGACCAAGGGGATGGGAGGGAGGGCGTCGAGAGTGATCCCGCTACCAGAGGCGAAGACGAGGAGGGCGGCACGCAGCAGGAGCAGCAAAGTCCCTCCCCGAGGTACAGACTGGAGGCGAGGGACGGTTTCAGAGGGATGGAGCCGCTGCGGCGAGCGGCACGTTTTTGTTTTTGGGGAGCAATGCTATGGGGGAGTATGTGTGGGGGAGGACGAGTCCCTCGCGATCCCGTCCGACGATCAACCGTATCTGTACACAGGGTGGGGACCGAACAGAGGAGCCGAGGCGGTGCCTGGCGAGCCCGGCGCCAGCCTCGCTGCTGCTGCTGCTGCTGGTGCTGATGGTCCTCCGCTAACCGCTTAGTAGTTGGACTTCTTGCCGGCACGGGCGAGGTGCGACGAGAACTCGACGAAGGGGGTGGCGGGAGGAGCGATGTCCCTCCAGAGGTTGGGGGTGATGAAGGCGTAGGTCTTGGCGACGGCCTCGAACGTGGCCTTGATGAAGTTGCCCATGGTGGCCGTCTGGCCGCTCGACTGGGTGTAGCAGTCCTGAACACCGGCGAGCTGGAGCATGCGCTTCGAGGCCGGGGCGGCAACGATACCGGTACCACGGGGGGCGGGGACGAGACGGCACATGACCGAGGCGCTCTTGCCCGACACCTTCATCGGGACGGTGTGGGGCTCACCGAGAGCAGCACCCCAGTAGCCACGGCGGACGGGGATGGCCGAGAGCTTGGCAAGGATGATGGCGCCGCGGATAGCGGTGGCGACCTCCTTGGCGCACTTGACGCCGAGGCCGAGGTGGCCGTCCGAGTCACCGACGGCGACGAAGGCCTTGAAGCGGGTGCGCTGACCGGCACGGGTCTGCTTCTGGACGGGCATGATCTTCATGACCTCGTCCTTGAGCTTGGGGAGGAGCAGGTCGATGGCCTGGTACTCCTTGATGGGGAGCGAGAAGAGGTAGATCTCCTCGATCGACTTGATCTTGCCGTCCTTGACAAGGCGGCCGACCGAGGTGACGGGAACCCACTCCTCCTTCTCGCCGTCGCGGCGACCACCACGGCGGGGGCCACGGCGGCCACGGCCACCACGGTCACGTCCGAAACCGCCACGTCCACGGGGAGCAGCGTCAGCCATTTTGTGTCTGCGAGTTGTCGATGGGAAGAGGACGAGGGCAGGGTCAGCAACTTGGCCCTTTGAATGGTGTTGTGTGCTAGCGACCGATCCTGCGAAAGGAGCGAGCAGACGAGCACGCAGCGACGCAGCGACGGACGAGAGAAGGGCGATGGTTGAATCGAGTCGGAACGAGCTGGCAGGTGCTGGACGCTGGAAGGACTGGCTCGGAACGAGAGCTGAAGGGCAAGGCGAGATCAAGGCCGGTGGTCGGTGGAATCGGCTGGCGACGAGGTTGGCGTGGATGTCGTCTTCGTCCTGCCTGCGTGATCCATCGCATGTTTCATCTTCCGCCCTTTCCAGCCGACGGGCTTCAGTCCCAGACTTCTGCAACTCGTCCTTCGCAGCAAAGACAGCACGTCGCTGTCCTCTGTCCCGGGGGAATGCTGCTGGCACCGCCGTGGTTCTGATCCGGCCTTCAGTCGACCGTTTCCCCCGCCTCCAACTGCACCATCTCGGGCCCCTCACGACCATCCCAGGCCGGCCGACCAGATCTCAAAGGTCCTGCTTCCTCCAGAAATCAGTCGAATCCGCCTCCGTTCGACACGTCGGCTGATGCTGTCAGGTCATGGTCGTCCGGCGTGGATTACGGTAACGACTCGAATATGGCGTGTCGAAGTGCCGCTGATCCATCGAGGTGTTCGTCGTCGTCGTCGTCGTCGCGGTGCCGCCGGGCCCTCGTACCGCATCGCCAGCATGTCGAGTCGTCGGGCGGTCCATTCGGGGTCGGAGACGTCGCTGCGCTCGCCACTTCAGCGTGCATAAGTGACACTAACCTTGAGTTGTTGAGGAGGGAGGGGGGCGGTGGAGATAGGTGCCGGTGCAGGGGGGATGGTGTGCCTTGACGATGTCGCTTGGAGGTATCGACGTGAAGGTGCTCGGCCCGCCTCGACAGGCCTCGCCCGCACCGCTGCCCGGCCGTCGCCAGCCTGCGCCCAGGCGGCCTGCCAGAACGCTGCTTGCTCCTTCCTCCCTCAGCCTCTCAGCCTCTCTGCGGTCGGTCGCCTGGGCTGCCCTGATTGCTTGCTCGCTCGCTCGCTGCCGATTCTTCCAGCCCTGCTGTGCCTAAGGCAGCGCCGGCACCGCGAACCCTGCCTGACACGCCCAATTTTTCAATTTTGAGCAGGCCAAGCCTCGGCCGAGGTTTGAAGCACGCGCTGCGTGCGTGCAGTCGCACTCGGACGCAGCGGATCGGGGATGCGCTGAACAAAAATCGGGCGGCCTGGTCTATCCGATTCAGCAGAAGACACCCCCGCAGCTACCATGGATGGCGGCATCGCTTTCGCTCTCAAAGCCGCTGGAGTGAATCTATGGTACTAGTACATCGGGGATGGCTAGACTGGGCCGCCGTTGACGGCGACAACGAAGCGCATCCACCTCTCGACGATGGCCTTGGCCAGCTCGAAGCCGCCGCAGGGGTCGGCGCGGCGCGGCAGCATGAAGATCTCGCGGTGCCTCGATCCGCAGTCCTGGCATGCCTCCTCGACCTTTTCGCCGACCTCGCGGAGCTCGAGGTGGACCAGCCGCTCCCACTTGTGGCTGAGCAGGATGCCCGGGCTGTCGGGCGCGTCGGCTCCAGAGAGGAGGCCCTGCCCCTGGGACGACGGGAAAAAGGCGCGTAGCACCGGGTCCTTGCTCTGGCACTGCGAGCGCCACTGGTTGATCCGCCGAAAGACGTTGACAGCACGCCCGACCTTGAGGCACACGCGATCGGCATCGGAGCGGTCGCGCAGCTCGTAGATGTACAGGTAGCCCCGCTCCTCGAGGTCGGCGGCGGAACTGGGCTCGGCCATGGCCTTGCGCAGCAGCGCCTGGACGTGGTCCGAGAGACGCCCGGCGTCGAGATACTCGGCAAACGCCACGTACACCTGCACCTCGGCGGACGCGCCTCTGGATGGCACGTAGATACCGCTGCTCTTGTTAATCTCGGCAACGTGTTGGAAGCAGTAGGCCTCGTCGTCCGAGGAGAGGACGCCTTCATCATCCACGGCTGGCGAGACAGCCGCTCTTCCTTTGCGATTCCTGGCGGACGCGCTTGTCCGGAGATGCTCGTCGTCGCTGTCATCGCCGATGACGATAGGCGCGCGATCCTGACGACGGTTGCTGCTTCCGTCCGTGACTGGAGTCGACGTCGACGTGACGCGTCCCTTGTCCTTGCCTGCACCCTTGTTACGCGCCGTGGAACTCACACCGTTGATCCTCTTGACCCGGCGCGTGCATCGATTCCCATCCTGCTTGATACCCCAGCATTGTTCTTTCGCTGGCTGCTGATGCGGGCTGGTCACCATGCCCGTCTTCGTGATCGGGCTATCGTTTGCAGGCGCGGGCGAGGCCGATTGGGCCCTCGGCTTGCGCTTGGGCGTCGATGCTGTGCTGCCGTTGGCAGTGGGCCGCACCTCGAGTCGGATCCCGGACAAGGGCTTCGAGCTTGACGGAGCAGAAGATATCCTCGGACCAAGAGGAGCTGCAGTCGAGCCTTCGGCGGCCACTGCTGACTCTTGCCGTCTGGCAGGGACGAGCTCCCAAGGGAATGCAGGCTTCGATCCAGCGCCGTCGAACGGAATGATGCCAGGCATCATGCTGCTGGGATGACATGCTGGCGCCGACATCGGCTGCGGAGGACGAGGCCTCCTGGGAGGCAAAGGGGGCCGAAGCGGGTCGGCTGGGCGAGGATCGGCGTCCGAGGCAAGGTCCAAGATTCGCGGCGGACGGGGTAGCTCGGCATGCACGTAATGGACAGGCGTCGGGAAGCTGAGCGGGCGATCGCCACGACGATACGGCGCGCCATACTGAGAATGACCACTGCCGGTACCGGCAGCGATGGAATCGGGTAGCGCCGGAAGAGGCTTGTCGTGCCGTGGTCCAGAGGGCTGCAAGCTCGTGTGACGGAGCCGCGCCGTCAGTTCATCGATCCCAGAGGGCTTGGCAGCATGGGCCGGAGGAGCACCTTCCGCGCCATGATGCGATTGTTGCTGTGCACGGCGAAGGTAGTTGAGCGCATGTTGCTGGAGCGGTCCGGGGCTAGGCGCTGTCGAGGTCGAGCTGGGGGTCGGGGCCGGGGCCGGGATGGCAGCCGGAGGACGGGTGCGGTCACGTCGGGGCTCCATCGCAGCGGCTGGTCGTCCACGATCCGTTCGAGCGTGTAGCAATACGGGCAGGCATGTTTCAGATGTGGGCGCACGAGCGAGCAGCCATGGCCGGTGTGTGCTGCGACAAAGGGGGGATGTTGGACGTTGCTCGGCGGATCGACAGGACGGCGTGGCTGTGCTGGGGATCACGAGCAACCCGGCCGGCCCTGGCCTGCGTGTTTGGACAGCCAGGCGAGGTGTTGGTCTGGGCGCGCAGCTTCGCGTGTGGAGGCCCCGATTCCAGCTGCCACCAACCCAGACGCCCGATGCGAAAAGCCACTGACGGCCAGGTGCTGCGGTAATGTCGAGCGGACCGCGACCCGGAGCCGGAAATTGCACGCCAGCTGGCCTCGCCGAAACCCCGTTGCCAGGTCTTCTGGGCAGAGAGCCCCGGCGCCGTCGAGCCAGGCGCCCGCCCGCCGCTGCCACCAGAGAGCGAGGATATCCACCAACGGCCGACGCCTCCTACCTTCTCTCTTTCTCTCCTTACACGCAAAAATTTGTTCGAGGCCCCCTCCGTCCTTCTCCATTCCCTCTCAACCCATCCCAAACCCCCCAAAAAAGGTCACCATGTCCAAGATCCCTGCTGCCCTCAACCCCACCGAGGAGGACATCTCGCTCCTCCTGGCCGCCCAGGCCCACATCGGTACCAAGAACACCGAGAAGGCCATGCTCCCCTACATCTACAAGCGCCGCGCTGACGGTGAGTGTACAAGGAGAGCGACGGAATCGCAGCGAGGATCATGACGAGGCCGGCGAGGCGGACAAGAAGAGGAGAGAAGAGAGGCCACGCCATGCCGGACCTGCTTTGCTGCGGCAGGGCGTTTCAGCGCCCGAAGACCGCTCGCGGCAGCATGCTGAACATCCCGACCGTCGTTCCTCGCCTTCCCTTGTTCCATTTCGCGCCGCCCATCCTCGTTTGCTGCTGCAGGAATCAACCTGCTCAACATCGGCAAGACCTGGGAGAAGATCGTCCTCGCTGCCCGTATCCTGGCTGCCATTGAGAACCCGGCCGACATCTGCGTCATCTCGGGCCGCCCCTACGGCCACCGTGCCGTGCTCAAGTTCGCCACCAACACTGGCGCCCAGGCCATCGCCGGCCGCTTCACCCCGGGTTCGTTCACCAACTACATCACCCGCTCGTACAAGGAGCCGCGCGTGATTGTGTGCACCGACCCGCGCGTCGACCACCAGGCCATCCGCGAGGCGTCGTACGTCAACATCCCCTGCATCTCGTTTGCCGACTCCGACTCGCCGCTCAAGTTCGTCGACGTCGCCATCCCCGGCAACGTCCGCGGCCGCCACTCGGTCGGTCTCCTCTGGTGGCTCCTCTGCCGCACCGTCCTCCGCCTCAAGGGCCAGGACCTCACCGTCATGCCCGACATGTTCTTCTACCGCGACCCCGAAGAGATTGAGCGCGAGGCCCAGGAGTCGGCCGCCGCCGCCGCCGCTGCCAAGGAGGGCGGTGACGCCACCGTCGAGGCCGCCGGCGACGTCAACACCGAGGTCCCCCTCGCCGTTGCCGCCAACCTCGCCGCCGAGGGCGCTACCGTCGACTGGTCCGCCGAGGGCGCCCAGGACTGGGCCGCTGACGGCGCCGCCGAGCCCACCACCACCTCGTGGGACTAAGCGTCTCGCCGGTCGTCTCGCTGCCTCACTCATGCGCCGCCTCCCCGGTCCCGGCCTCGCTAGGCTCGGGCCGAGAGTGAGGCTCGGATGAGGAGGATCAACAGCGAGGAACCAGCGATCGCCCGAGTCGCGCCAGCATCTTTCGAGAGACATCCACGACCGACCTCGTCCTCGCCGCAACCGCCCGAGGCGGGCGGGAAGAGAGCGGGTATGAAGGGATGGATCGACAAAAGGGGCTCATCACCCTCCAACAATCTTTCTTCAGCGTTGTCTTGCCTCTGGTGTGTCGGCTCCGCGGCATCTTATTCGCCGAGGAGAATACCGTCGTCGCCGCTTGTCTACACATCCGCACCTCGTCGTTGTCGGTATGCACCAGAGTCCAATAGTCCGCGAATACCTTTTTTCCACCCCCCAAAATTGGAGAGTGCAACTCTTTCCTGCCGCGATCAGCGCTCTGGTCTGGGCTCGTCCACCCCATCTACTCGTGGGCGTCGTCGATGCAAGCCCGCGGGTGTGCGAGCGAGGCGTCTGTTGCCCATGTCAAGGGGCCAGCGCAGGTAAGTCGGTCGGTCGGTGAGATGTGGGGCCAGCAGCACGGAACTGGGAGTGTGTTTGCTCGTGCAAGGCCTTCTAGCTGGCCGGACGGCTGGTATCTACTCCTGAAGCCGCTGCTGGTCCTCTCTCTATTGTTGTGGCTGCTGCTGCTGCTGCTGCTGCGGCGGCGGCTGCGTGTGTTGGCCAGGGGTCGGCTGCGAAGTCGTGGCACCGACCGGCTGCTGCGCCTCGGAAGCGACCGTAGGATGGTCAAAGAAGAGCACGTCCAGTCCATCGATGGCTGCAGGGCGATAGGGAAGCGATGCGGAGAAGGAGATGGTCGCCGTCAGCCAGTCTGTGCGGCAACGCGAAGACGCTGCCTCCGAGAAAAAAGGCGAATTCGCGCGCGGCTACTCACGAAGGCCCAGGTCCGAGACTGCACGCGACGAGATGGGAGAGAGGTTGCGAACGGCGCGCGTCCAGATCGACGTCAGCGTGCCGTTGCCCGCTGCCTGTGCCGGGAACGCGCAAGGGTACTCACGGACGCTGTCAAAGTTGCTGGCCATGCTGCCGCCGGCGGGCTGCTGCTGCTGCTGCAGGTTGGCCATGCCCGAAGGCGTCATGGCAGATTGACCGCTAGGACCAGTAATGTTGCCCATGCCGTTGGTGCCAAACGCCGCGTCGCCAGCGTACCCGTCGACGGCGGCGACCCAATCGCGGAGCTGGTTGGTCGAATCCATGAGGGAGCCCGTCGACTCCTGCATCCACAGCGGCAGCTGCAGCGGCTGGCCCGACGGCGTGTCGGTACTCCACGGCATCCGCGGGCTCTCGGCTTCGATCTGGTTGCCCCTGTAGCTCAACCCCATGCCCGCCAGCCGGCTCGGCGTCATGGCGGTCGCGGCAATTTGGGGCGAGGGCGCAGTCGACGTGTTCCACTTGGCGTCGGCAGGCTGCAGGACGCTGAGACCGACATCGGTCGAGCCGCTGGCCTGGGCGGCACCTGCAGCTGCTGCCGTCGCCGGGTCGTCTGCGCCCTCGACCATCGCAGAGGGGTTGTCCGCCTGCTGGTGCTGGGCGAGAAGCTTGTAGAGCAGCGCCAGACCGGTGTCGGAAGGCCCACCCATCTTGATCTCGGCCGGAGTGATGGCTCCTGGCCGCGATCCCTCGGCGCCGAGGGCGGCGTAGAGGCCGATGCTCGGGCTGAGGTCGGTGATCTTCTTCCATGCCTGCGCAAGCAGGATGCGGATGACGCGCGAGTACTTGGTCGCAGGCACCTCGGCCAGGCGCGTCGCCAGCCTCTCGGCGTTGCTGAAGATGCCGTAGGTGTCGACCTGGCGTGGGAATAGGCGAGCGATTTTCTGCGGAAGGAGCGGGGGATGTGAGACGGGCAGGGCATGGTCAGCGAGCGTTGGGTCGACATAGCTCGGAACGCTCAGGTCGCGGCCGGTGTCGCTGAGCAGCTACTCACGATGAGAAAGACGCAGGCAAAGGCCGCAGTGACGTGCGTATAGTGGGGCGCCCAGCCGAGCATCTCGCGGTACTCGTCGCTATTGACCGAGATCGATAGGCACGTGTCGGCGGCTCGGGTTGCCTGGATGATTAGCTCCTTCTGCTCGGGCCCCATCCGATCGGCATCGTGCGCGTCTTTGATGCCGCGCAGGGCGGTGCAGGTGAGGTAGAGCTCGGCACTGGCGCACTGCAGGACCAGGCTCTGCTGAAAGAACGACGACTCGTCGTACCCGCGGTTCGACAGCTCGTTGCTCCAGAACTTGTGCCACTCGTCGAGCTCGTGCGTCACCCGCCGCATGCGGGCCAGCATCCGCGCATCGACGGGCTGGTCGTAGGGCCCCATGGCATCGTAGTGGGTCTCGCGGATGATGAGGAGCTCGAGCGTCGAGATGAAGCGCGCGTCGGTATCGACGGCCAGCGGGTACTGGAGCGTCAGAAAGGCGCGGCAGTTGCGCACGTAGTGTTTGCTGAGCATCGCCGGCCGACCTGCACCGAACGAGGCCTGGTGATCGAAGAGGAAGAGGAAGAACCACAGCCTGGCGCCCCTGGCCAGCTCCCGCAGCTCCTCGATGCTCCCCTGCTCCGGCTCTGCCTTGCCATCGCCGTCGTCGCGCCTCAGCACCGGCCCGCTGACGTCGCTCCGCTCTCCCGGAGAGTCGGTGTAGAGCGACGCGGGCGAGCCCTGGTGGTAGACGTGATTGCGCGGCGGATGCGGTGGCGGCGGTGGCTGTCGCAGCATGCTGCCGGGCGGTAGCCGGGTCATGAGACGCTGGAAGGAACGATCCAGTCCGAGCTCCTGGGCCATCCGGATCGACATGCCCGTCGGCAGCCAGCCATTGTCGCTGTACGAGCCGAGCAGCACCATGGCCTGGACCGCCTCCTTGCCGTCGACCGGCATGAAGAGGGTGTCCTTGGCATTGCGCTTGGCCTGCGCCATGCAGATCCGGTAGAGCCGGTTCTTGGGGCCGCCGCCGCACTCGATCATGGCGCCGATCGCCAGGATGGTGTTGAAGAGGAAGAAGCTCCGCGCTCGGATCGATTCCATCGCATCGGACCGCGCGTCGTCGAAGAAGACGTCCTCGAAATGGAAGATGCTGATAAACTTGGGGACGCCCTGTCCAAAGATGTTGAAGAGCCGCCGCGCCTCGTCCTCGGTGACCAGGCCGAGCGTGACCAGGTCGCCCGGACGGTCGATGCCGTGCGGGTTGATGTCGTCGGGGTACTGGCTGGGCCCGGCGCCAGCAGCGTCGTCTCCGCCAACGACTGAGCCCGAATCTGTGCGCCGTCGCTTGAGCGGGCCGCCGCTGGCATCGTCGGCGGGCGATGGTTCCGAGGCCAGCGGACGGCTCTGCGATCGCCGATGTGGGCCGCTGGCGACCGTCGAAGCCGCGTTGGGCGTGTCCTTGTTGACGAGGAACTCGTCGCCAGGGTATCGCCTGCTTCCCGTGGCTTCCGATGGTGTATGGGTGCTGGCATCCAGGTCGTCGTCGGCACCGCCCCGACCGGCGTCTGCGGCGGCTGCGGCGGCGTCGGCCAGGCCACGGAGCGCCTCGATGGGTGCCGAGAGCTGCTCGTTGGAGATGTCGGCGTCGCCGTCGGCATCCTTGTTGAAGAGGCGGCGCGCGGGTGGCGGTGGCATCGAAGTCCTCTGCGACATTGCCGGCCTCCATGGCTGATGCGGGCCTTGCGACGGCGGGTCGGGCGTCAGCGAAGTGGCGCTGGTGGCATCTCTCCCTCTGGAACCTTCGGCGGTACCCGCGGGATGCCAGGGCTGGCCTGGGCGATGCTGGAGCTCGAGCTGGTTGGAGGCGGGAGACGAACGGACGTGTCCCGGCGACTTCCAGTTGGCTGCGCCCGAAGGCTGCTCTGCACCCGCGCCGGCGCCTACGCTGCTCGACAGCCCGCTGCCAAGACGCGGGCTGGGTGCGGACCAAGGGTAGATCCTCCGGTCCATGTCAGACTTTGCGCTCGGGCTCTCGGCGCCTCCGGGCCCTGCGGCGGCGGTTCCGGCGTGGCCTGGGCCTGCGCCCTCTTGCTGGAGGTACTGGCTGTGCTGCGCCGTGGTGGGCTGCTGGAGCAGGTCTTGGGTCCGTGGTGCGTAGGCTCGAGGCGGACCTGGGCCGAAGGCGGTGGGGGATCTGTAGGCCGTCATCGGATGGACCGGTCCAGGCGGCGGCGGCGGCTGAGGCGGCGGCTGCGCCCCCTCTTGAGCCGGGGCGTGGGCAGGGGTGCGGAGGGGAGAGGGAGAGCCCGTCTGGACCTGCTGGGCGAGGAGGCGGGTGTTGGTCTTGAGCGTGTTGACCAGCTCGCCCATCATGGCTTGCATGTCGGACATTTGCGTCTCGAGCGACTTGATCCGCTCGCTGCCGGCGTCGGGCGCCGTGGCTCCCGTCTCGCGCGGTGGCTTCTCAAAGATGCAGTCGATGCCCGCAGCCTTGCACCGCCGGCAGGGCGGATGCTCTGGGCCTTCGCACCTCGCCTTCTGCTTGCGGCACGACGTACAGGCGCGGTGGACGCGCGAGATGGCCTTGTACACGCGGTTCTGCTCGCTGTCGTCGCCGCCGCCTGCCGCACCGCCACCGCTACCGCCACCGCTGGCGCTGGCGCTGCCGCTGCCACCCTTTCCGCCGCTGCTGCCGCCACTGCCGTCGCCGGAGCCGTTGTTTCTCCGCTCGCGGCTGTCGGAGCGATCTCGATCATCTCCCCTAGGGGGGCTATCGGGGTTCCTGCCAGGTCGGTCCGAGGCCTGTGCTTGGCCAGAGGTGAATGGCTTGCTGCTCGCATTGCTTGGTCCGGCGACTTGCGGCTGTTTGGGCTCGTCGATCGCGCTGAGCGCGCGAGACGGCGGTGCAGGCCGAACCCCACCCGTGCCACCGGGCATGGTGTTGCGCCGGTGAGCAGAGAAGTCGAGAGGAGGCGCCACGGGCGGATCGAGCGAGCGAGGAGACTGGGGAGGCGCTACGAGGGCCGACATGGCGTCAGACGGCGGCCAACGCAGTCAGGCTGGGCAGGAGAGGTTGATGGCGGGTCCGCGATGATGATATGTTCGGTCGACGAGCACGTCTCTCTATGCCATGCTCGCTGCCTGTGGACGCGGATGGAGCAGAAAGGCTCAGAAAGATTGCGATGGCGGATGGTGTTGATCCTAGTTGCCTGGAAGGGGAGAGAGAAGAGAGCAGGGATGACGAGCGGCGCCTCGCTGATTGCAACGAGGACGGTGAAGCCGAGCTGGTGGAGGAAGAAAAGAGGTCCGAGACGAAGGCTAGGCTGAAGCAGAAGCGAGGGGACACCAAGAAGGGTGAGGACGGTCACAGAGGAGGAATCGAGCGAGAGAGGAGGAAGGACCGCGAGCCAAGCAGGGCAGACGGGGACGACGAGCCCGCCAGAAGGAGGCTCAGAGTCGAAGGGGCACGAAGCCAACCACGCGAGCGACAAGGCAGGACGGCAGTCAGCGAGTCTGGCAGTCGGCGACGGCAACGGCGAAGACGTGGTTGGTAGCTCGAGCAACACAGCAGCAGCAGCAGCAGCAGCAGCCATTCCCCGCACCGTCGAGGCCCGCTTGTGGGGGTCCGACCGGTCCGGCGCTCCGGTCGGCCTGGCTGCCCTGCCTGGCTGGCTTGCCTCGGCTCCACCCACCAAACCAGACGACCCTTTGACGCCAAAAAGCACCCGGATCCGAGTCCGGTCATCCGCGGAAGAACCTCGGTCAGGCCCAGCCAGGCCCCAGACCAACAACCCAGCCCAGCCCAGCCCAACCCAGCCAGGCAGGCCAGGCCACGCTGCGCCGTGCCACCAGCTTCTCCGCTCAGACGCATGGCTACGAGTCGTTCTCAGCAAGACAACTTGCCTCTTGCACTTGCCAGGCATGTCGCCGGTCAGGCACAGCCCGTGCTCTAGGCAAGCAGACAGGCTAAGCACTGATTCGATGCGAGACCGAGAGCGACCCTTGTCGCATGCAAGCAGTTGCAAGCTCCATGATCTGTGTCCGCAAGATGATCGGATATGCTTGCATGGGACGGGAACATGGCGCGGCATAGAGTGAGTGCTAACCAGGGTTTGCCGAGCCTCCGCATCCCAGCTCATCCGTGAGGGTCGCGCCGTCTGCTTGCCATGTCGGAGCCTGACAACTGGCGCGTTGGTTCTCTGCTCTAGCGTCGACCGTGGCAATGCTGATGAGCTGAGGCGGTGCGGACCAGCACGACGAAGCCTCGGCGGCCTCCGTTCTGCCGTCAAACCAGACGTAGCGGTCCCGCCATCGCATAGGCTCGCCGTCCAAGCCCAGCATCTCCAGACGGGCGCTGTCTAACCCCGCCTCTCCCTGGTGCATGGGAGCCACCACTTCCTCTTCCCTCGCATTCTTCGGTCGCGGGTTCAGCCAGGACAAAGTGATTCTGAATCGCCGCCATCTTTGCATTGCAGGTTTTGGTTGGTGGGTGAAGCGAGCCCGGCGGAACGACAACGAAAGCATGGACGGCGTGTTTTGGTTGGTTTGGTTGGGTTGGGCGTGATGTGTGTGTGTGCGTAGAGCGTTGGGCTGGGCTGAGGATGGATGAGGTGCGTATGGGGAGTCGGGAGATGGGTGGAGGGGATCATACAACATCGCCCCGTCGACCAGCGCCCATCGACGGGGGACGTAAAACAAGAGAGAAGAAAAAGAGGGACAGCGTGCGTGGGGCGCGCGCGTCATTGCAGCGCACAGGCACGCTCCGAGGCTTGCGGGACCCCCCAAGATGCCGGAAGAAGGGGTGGGAAAGAAAGAGCGAACGAGGGTTGCAAGGGTAGAGCCAGGTCGACGCGTGGGTGCGTCACAACCTTGCCGATCCGCTTAGAATCGGAGGGGAGTGAAGAACCACTTGTTCTTGCCGCTCTGGTACTTCTGCTCGAAGATCGAGCGGATCTGCTTGAGCGAGTCGGTGCGCTGCGAGGGCTCCTTGAACGTGTCATTCGAGACCAGGCCCTTGAGGCCCTCGAGCTCGAGCGCGTATCGGGTGGGCATGAGGTGGTTGTAGTTGATCACCTTGATGAAGGGCTTGATCTTGGAGCGCTTGGCCAGCTTCTTGCTGCCCATGTTGCGCGTCACCTTCAGGGGGTATCGCTCAATGCCGGCGGCGATGATGTAGGGGAAGCCCTTCTCCTTGGTGCCGTCATCGTACTGCTTGATGACGACGACCTGTTCGGCGATGGCGAGACGAACGTCCGAGATACAAGGGGGTCAGTAACGTCGAAAGGGCGCGCCAAGCCGCGCGACACACCTCGTCGAGTCCAGCCGTCGTGTACGGCCAATCCAACCTCCAACACCCCGGACCCAACCGTCCTCTCCAGCAAAAGCCAAAGCCATCGTAGATCTGCTCGTGCGATTTGACATCGCTGCCTGCCGCTTCCACTCTGCCAAATCGCGGCAGCGTTCAGCACCATGGGCCCAAGGTCGAGGGATGCGGTCCTCAAGTCTTCGCCAGACTTCAAGGACGACCTTGCAATCTTCCGTGAGCGCCTCGCGCATCTTTCATCCCTTCCCTGAACGGGGAACTCGCCGTCCGAGATCCGTCGTTCGTCCGCCTCCCGTCGTCTCCTGTGGGCCTCGACGAAACTCCCGCGTCGGAGGTGAGATTGTCGTCCTGCGGAGCTGGCTGCCGCTTCGAACGCTGTTCCCAATCTTCGAATCCTGCCCGGCCTGGTGCCCTGAGCGTCCTGGGCAAGCCTCGACTGCTCCGACGGGTGGAACTTTCTTCCACAGCGAGATCTGGTGTCGGATACTAACCTTCTTACCGGCGTGACGGCCCTGGAGGACGACACTGATGGGTAAGAAGACAGATGTGCGAGACAGGGAGAGTGTGGGCATCGTCAGCGGACGCGGTCTTTGGATTTCAAATCACCAAAGAAGCCACAGGGACACTCACGCGACCTTTCCTGGCTGTTGGTCCGAACGAAGACGGCAGCGATGGGAGACGAGACGGAGCGGCAGGGGAGTTCGTTAGCCACCACTTGTCTCGAGAATTTTGAAATACGGCGGCTCGGGCCTGCCCATCCGCCATAGCGAGCGGCCTTCGTCCCCCTCTCTCATGCTCTCTCTGTGTCGGTCCGAGGGAGAATCCAGGTCGGTCGGGGGGAGTTGCGCGCGCAAGTCCTGGCCGGCGGGTGGTGCTGTCGTCGTGGGGCGATATAGTAATGGCAATGATTCACCGAGTCGCACGTGTCGTAGCGGTGAATACGATCGTCGGGTCGAGCATAGCTGCAGCATGCGCGGGTAGTCCAGCACAATGTCCATGATACGCGGATGTCGAGTCGGTGATTCGTGAAGCATCAAGGTCGAAGTCGCTCCGAGACGCAAGGGAGAGAGAGAGCAAGAGAGAGGGTGGCGGCGGCGGCGGCGGCGGCATACGTGGTGCAGGGCGTCTCGTTCGTCGATGTCGGAGCCTCACCTTGTAGATCTTGGGCATGGCGGGCGGATATGTGAGTCTTGATGGGGAGGAGGAGGTTGACGACGGGTGGTGGTGACGAAGAGGTGTTTCCGAAGACTCTGCTGCTTGCACGCTCAGCGGGCGGCCTGGAGGGGCCCAGCCGACCGGCCGTCTCTGCGGCGGCGCTGGCCTGTCTCGCTCGCCTGCTGGGGAGCTTGCCTGGCTGGCGGCCTGGCGGGCTGGCTTGGCTGGCTTGGCTGGCTTGGCTGGCTGGCGGCCACACCCGTCTGGCCTGCCCCCCCTTTAGCCTGGCGAGCGTCCCTTGGCGGGTGTGTCTGCGTTCGGGGCCGGGCCTGTCGTTGGAAGCTCGACTGGGAAGCGAGAGCCAGGGCTGGCAGCTGGAAAATTCCCACGCTCGAATTTCGTCTGCCTGGCTGTCGACACCTGCGATGTGCGCGCGAGAGGCTCCAAATTCAAGCGGCGGGCAGGCGGCGGGCCGGGCCAAGCGGCGACAGGTCGAAATTTTGGCAAAGACTCCGGCACCGCTTTGACAGCCAGCCAGCCTGCAACGCCAGCCGCGCCAGGCCCGTCCATGCCAGAGAGCGGAGAGATCGAGCAAGGGGGCCTAGCGCAGGGCGCCTAGGGCAGCTCAGGTCAGGCAAGGCCAGGCAGCTAGGCTGGCGGGTGCGGGCTGGGCAGAGGGCGGCAGGCAACCCTAGTCCGCCGCCGCCACCATCGCCTTCTCCCTCTCCTCTCCCCTCGTCAAGACACACATCTCAACAAGGTAAGCGATCGCGCCGACACGCTGCTCCGCCATCTTCGCACCCCACACACCGCAATCACCAATCGCACACCTCTCCGCCGCCACAAGGTGCGATCGCCGACAGACGGCCGCTCCGTCCAGCCACTCTGCGTTGCCACCCGTGCCACCCGTGCCACCCACGACATTCTTGCAACATCGCCGCCCGTTCGCCTCGACAATCGCTCTCGACCTTTCTCAGCCGCTCTCGAGCTGAGGATCTTCGTAACGGCAGACGCCAGGAACGAACAGAGCATCCGAAATGGAGCACCTATCGGATAGCGGCCTGAGGCCGATGTTTGGCTACGAGCCCGGGAGACCGCCTTTCGCACCGCCCTCTCGTTACATGCGACGTTACGGGTCTTGCTTGGATTTGCTTCCTCTACCTGCCTGAAGCGCTCACACGGCCGAGGACAATCAGGCGTCACACTGCCAGCTGCGACTTTCGACGTACCGGCAGACTCTCAGATATCCGACCCAGATCGACTCGACTCGACTCGACTTGATCAGGCGTCGGCAACGCAGAGCGGCTGGACTCGCTCCTTTTACCCATCATTCTCGTCCTATGAGGATCCAGCGTGCTGACGACGCCACATTGCTGCCGTCCTTGTCCCATTCACGCTTGACTACCAGACATCAAAATGGGAAAGCCTAGGGGTCTCAACACAGCCAGGAAGCAGGTCACTGTCCGCCGTGACAACCGCTGGGTGAGTGTCGCCGCATCTCAACAGGAATATCGGAAGGGCGAGATGGGCTTCGACTCGAGGGACTCGAGGGGAAGGCTGAGTGATGGGCTGCTCCAGTGCGCCTCTGGATACATGCCTCTCGCGGAAGAGACTTGAGATGCATTTGCACTGAGGAGGCGGGCATTCGATAGCGGGTCTCATCGTTGGAGGATTGAAGACGTCGACGGGTGTCGCAGGGACAGGCATAGGAGGATACCCAAGCCTGCGATGAGGGCGTAGGAGGCGGATTCGGGTGACATGCACCGTCGCGACAGGCATCGCTGACCTTCCCTTGTCGCTCACCCTCCGCACACTTCTTCGACACCCTCGTCGTTGACCAACCAATAGGCCGACGCTCACTTCAAGAAGCGCGCCCTCGGCAACTTCTACAAGACCTCGCCCACCGGTGGTTCGTCGCACGCCAAGGGCATCGTCCTCGAGAAGATTGGTGTCGAGGCCAAGCAGCCCAACTCGGCCATCCGAAAGTGTGTCCGTGTTCAGCTGATCAAGAACGGCAAGAAGGTCTCGGCCTTCGTGCCCCGTGACGGTTGCCTGAACTTTGTCGACGAGAACGACGAGGTCCTCATTTCGGGCTTCGGACGAAAGGGCAAGGCCAAGGGTGATATCCCCGGTGTCCGCTTCAAGGTCGTCAAGGTCTCGGGTGTCGGCGTGAGTATCGGGCCTCGGTCGAGTCGGGTCGCTTGACCCTTGCAGCAGCGTTTACTCACCCTGTTCCCCCCGGTCCCTCTCGTCTCCCCTCGACACCCGCCCCTACAGCTTCTTGCTCTGTTCAAGGAGAAGAAGGAGAAGCCGCGTTCCTAAGCGTTGCGCCTGCGTACTTGGCCCGGAGAGTCTTTGACGCGATCGCCCCCTCTACCATGTCCTCCCTCCGCAACCATGCCTCCATCTTACGCCTCCCGCTCTTTCGCTTCCGGTCGTTGTAGCATCAATGCATAAAAGGGGGCCGCTCGCCCAGCGGTCCACACCCATTCCCAAACTTCCCCCGTGCGCCTGGCGATGTGCGCGAGATGCCAAGTGTGTGCGAGTGGCGCGACGTGCTGAGTCGTCTAGCCGGTGACCTTGCTTGGCAGAGTGCAGGTAGATGCTCGCACTCGATAGCCGCGGGGTCCGAGCCTGACTGATGAGACGTACGAGGGCGCTGCGGAGACTCGACCAGCGCGATGCAAGCGTGCCGTGGCGTGGCGTGGCGGTGCTGACCTTGGGACGAGCTCGAACGCAGTCTGGCTTCGATGAGGGAGCGAGAGCCGGAGGGCGAGGGGGAAGAGGGCGCCCGCCTCATTCCGCTGCACGCCCTCCTGGCTTCGAGGTCGGGCTTGACCCCGCGACATTCGCTCCACTTTTGGGGGAAAGGGCAGCCGACGCGCGCCCTTTCGACTTCGACCTTCGAGGGTCTCAGCCCGACTGAACCTGGCCACCAACTCTCAACCCTCGACGACCCCGCACTCACCGCTCGCCTTGATCGCGACCTCGACGCACGCAGCTCACCTCACCTCGCCCCCCTTTCATCTCATACCGTCTCATCTCCTCAGCCCCGCATCGCATCGCATCGCTTCGCCACGCCCCGACCACCGAACAGCCGCGTCCGGGCTCACATCACATCACATCGTCGCATCGCCGTCTTTTGACGCATACCCCCGACTTCATCTGGGCATTCGTTGATCGGTCCGCGCCATCGACGTCGCCGCAGATCCTGCCTGCCTGCCTGCCTGCCGCGACGCGACGCAGCGCAGCGCCACCTGATCGAACGCCCCGAACGCCCCGAAGTCCACCTTGACCCCCGACATGCCGGCAGTGCGAACCCGACCGCGGGACGTAATCATCCGCGTCCCAAAGGCGGAACCGTATAGCGCCGAACACCTCAAGCAACAGCAGCAACAGCAACAGCAGCAACAGCAGCAGCAGCAGCAGAGCACGGATGCCGTCTCGGTCACGACTGCAGCCAACGGCACCACCACCGTCACGCCTTCGTCGTCGTCGTCGGCCTCGACCGCGCAGCAGCAGCAGCCGCTGGTCGGCGTACCCCTGGATGGCGGGTCCAAGTCGGCCTCGGTGACGGCACCCGAAAAGACGACGGATCCGGCCACGGCCATTGCGGCCGCCTCGTCCCTTGCCCAGGGCGGCGAGTCCCAACCTGCATCCACACTCGCCGCCGACGCTCATGCAGCAACAGCAGCGGCGGCGCGAGACGGGAAAAGCGGCAGCGGCGGTGAGGGCAAAGGCGACGATGCGACCGCGGAGAAGCAAGACGAGGGCGAGGGAAAGAAGAACGCTCCCACCTTGAGCCTGGTCCTGGCGGGGCGAGAGGAAAGCGAGGCGGTACCCCTCAGCAAGGCGTCGACGAGCTCGGCCGAGTGGAACAGCCTCCTCATCTGGGCGAGGAGGCAGAGAGGTCCCCAGTGGGACTCGGCCACCGCAGTGTAAGTTGTCCGGTCGTGATGCCGTGGTGCTGTCGTGGTGATGTTGGTGGATGGTATGTCAAGAAGAGGTCGTCGAAGGAGGCTAGGCCGGGTCGGCGGATCAAGGCGTCGCGCTTGGACCGTCATCGTCCCATGCCCTCGGCCGGCCGGGCTTGGATCAACCCACATCCTCCAGGATCCGACTTCGCCGGGCCGACCGAGGCAGCGTAGAATCCTGGGCGTCGGTGACCACGAGACACGACCTGACTTTCTGTCCGTGTCCGTGTCCCTGCCCCTCTCCATCCTCCTCTTCCTCCTCTCGAATCGACAGTTGGCAAGTGGACAAGTACAGCGAGGAATACTACAGGTACGTTGCGCCCCTGTCCTCGCTCCCTCTTGCCCTCTCTTCTCACTTCAAACCACATCCCGATCCCGCGCGCGCACGCTCTCTCCACTTTCGACGCGACACAGTTTCTGCAACGACCCATCCCAATCGACGCACCACCAATCGGGCCAATCCTCTTCCTCAGGACCGGGTGCAAACAACGGTGATGGCACAGCCTCTGCTGCACAAGAACCACAGGCGCCCGGCGGCGCTGACGGCGGCGAGGCGGGATCGGCACAGGCTCAGCGACACCAGAACGGCGACGAGGGCGACGACGACGACCGCGGTCCGCTGCCACGTTCCGCACGCAATGGCACGACAGCGGCGGCGGCGGTGGGTGGGGCGGGCAAAGAGGAGAGCCCCCCGCCTGTTGCGCACGGTCGTTCGGCCAGGTTGCTGCGCAGATGATGGCGCGGCGCTGGGGTTGAATGTCGTGCAGCACCGGGAGGTTACAATGTCGCGCGGTCCGTTGCTGGTGACGCTGCTGCTGCGGCATGGCTCAGGAGTCGGCCGGCCTGCCGCGTCTGTCTATGGTGACCGCCGCCGCCGCCCAACTCGCCCGGCCCCTAGGCTCAGCTCAAGATTCCCGCCATCCTCTCTCCCGCACCAGCTGCATTGCCCGCCCACCCTTCGTCCCTGATCCTTCGTCACCCATCACTCTCGGATACCGCATCGGGCATGCATGCATGCTCTACTCGGAATCGAATCGCATCGCATCTCTCCCGCGCTTGTCCCTCTACCGCGCCATGTTTCTCAAAAGGCCGGTGCGTGCTGGCTGCAGCGCGCCGGGTTCGCGTTGCGACCATGCGTGTTGGCGTGCGGCGTGCTCAGGAGATGAGGTGGGGCTTGCGCCTCTGCGTCCACGTCTCGAGCGAGCGCCAGAGAAAGGCGACGACCTGCTTGTCCGTGTGTCGTTTTGTCCGGTCGACCTGCGAGAGCGGGCGTGGGGCAAGAGGAGGAGCCGATCAATGGGGCAGAGACGAGGACGGTCAGCGTTGGCCGTCGTTCGGTGGCGATAGTCGGAGACAAACTGGCAGGAGAGCCAGCGATCCAGCCAGCTAGCCAGCGAGGGGAAGGGGAGAGGAGGTGGGCATCGCAACTCACCTGCAGCTCGGTCACGTTCCACTCGCGCACGTTTGGATTCTGCGGCTCATTGTGCCATCGCACGTAGACGCCCATCACTATGGGGTGACAGGAATGAGGACGACAGAGGGGTCGATGCGCGAGTGTCAGCATGAGATGCGGCAGGACGGCCGTCGCCTCGGCGCCTTGCGCCGCCGGCGGTCCACTCACCATTCTTGAAGAGCTCCCTCGGCTCGGACCACTTGTACGTCTTAAACTGCCACGCCTGGCCCGTGGTAAAGACGGCGACGACACGGTTCCACGGATCCTGCGCGAGGCCGGCGGCCATCGAGTTGCCGCCGAGCCGGTTGACGGCCTCGGCATTGTCGACGACCAGGATGCGTCGACCGATGCCCGTGCCGCCCGCCGCGCCGCTACTGCCTCCACCGCCACCGCCGCCGGCGCCCGGTCCGCCGCCTCTTGTGGTGATCGAGACGACGAGGTCGGCCACGCCCCTCGCGCGCGCCCGCGCCTCTTCTGGCGGCACAAAGATGCCTTCCTCGAGGTACTGCTTGATGTTGAACATGTTGAGCAGCGACGTGGGCGAGTTGGAAATGACAATGATGGGAT